GTGTGTGTGTGTGTGTGTGTGTGTGTGTGTGTGTGTGTGTGTGTGTGTGTGCGTGCGTGTATTTAAATTTACATTTAACGCACTACAAGCGTGTTTCTTCAAAGAGAGTCATGCAAGGACAGAAAACGTCGTAATGACACCTTAACAGTCTGATGAGCATAACAGTTTACCTTTTCGTAAGAGTTTTATGGCACTTGCAACAATAAATAAGGTAATATAAGTGCCGAAGATTTAGAGGTGTTTTAAGAGAGTAAAAGTAAAGTTTTTCCCGCATTCGATCCGGACATTGGGGATTGCCTTGTTAGTGAGACAACTTCCTGGACCTTCGGCATATTGTGGTAGGGCGGCCAGTTCCTTTCCACACCGCCTTTACTTTCCGCAACTCAAAGTCAGGTACCCATTACAGCTGTGTGGGCAGGAGGGGGCGAAAAAAATCAGTGTTCGAACCGAGGCTCGAGTGCTTCGGAGACAAGTGCACTAACCGCTCCGCCACTTTAAGAGAGTAACAAACGCAAAAAAGGAGGAGAGAGAAGGATGATAGATTTTTCATAGGAAAAAGGATCAAACCACACAAAAGCATCCGCCCACCACACACCAGTTTACATTTGACGGCCCTTATCCCACTTAATGAAGTTAAATGGTAAGGTAAGCAGTCCCATCTCCAAATAAACATATTATACTCTTCTCCAATAAGACTGAGCCAACCGGGCTTTGAGTTGAGAGCAATCCTCAAACAAGCAAAGTTAGGGAAAACTTTTAATGTGGGATCGAACTGTTGTCAAGCACATCACACTTCACAGTCGAGCATGCTATCAATTTAAGTAACAGCTCACCACAGAGCATAATATGACAAGACAACCAAGAAAAGCTATAGGAGGGGGAACTGGCCACAAGAACAACTAGATACCTGACATTAGGTACTTCCCAAGGCCATAACATATAAAAAAACCTTGCATGACTCATTTCACTTATCAGATCATAAATATATATAAATATAAAGGCTTTCGTGATGTAGTATCAGAACTCACAATTGAAAGACTGAAGAATTTATTCTGATTTTCAAGAACAAAACATGGTGGCAAGCACAAATTACAAGAAATTGAAATACATGTATATATAACAAAAAGCATAAAAGCATACATTCACTGATGATAGGCGTTGATGGCAAAATCACAGCTGTTCAGAGCAAACATGAACAACAATTTACAAAAAGTATTCTCCAGTGTCACATTTTTATTACGTCACCACAAATTGCCATTCATTTCAAAATTACCCAATTATTTTACTTGATCTTTTCGTAACTAATATTGAATCCAGGTCTCTTTAAACGTTCCACTACATGGGCAACACTGAACATCTTTTATAGTTTTCTTAGACTAAAGACAACAAACCAACAACTATTCATACATATAAATCAATATTTAAAAAGTAAATTCCTACTTTTTTTGTGCGTACCCAACAATAAAAAAGAAATACGACTATTGTACCAAAACCTCCAAGAAAACAATAGTGATGTGTATAGGACCAACATTAATTCATTGAGAACTGTCACTCCAATTACCAATTTTCACTCCTAAGATGCAGCACTTTGATACCTGCTTAATCATGTTTTTTGTAGAAGCCCCACAAACAAAGCAGTAGCAGTAAGCAGTTAGTCTTTTTTTTTTTTTAACATCATGTCGGCCTACTCTTTATCGTCTTGTTTTAGCTTTAGTAAGAGATGTACGGCACTTGCAACACAATAAGGTCACATAAGTGCTGAAGATTAGAGGTGTTACAAGAGAGTAACAAACACAAAAAAGGAGGGTAAATAGAGACGATAGATTTTTTATAGGAAAGAAGGAGCAAACCACACCATTGCACCCGCCAACCACCCACACCATTTATCACCTAAATACATAAACAAACCTATGAAAACCTTAAAACTTCAAGTGCTATTTCTCTTTAAGGAAGCGAAACTAGTGGCATTATTAAAAAAAATAAATGCTCTAGCAGAAACCACAATTGCAAATTACTTCTATCTATTATTATTACATTTCCAGAAAAAACTAAAACCAAAACAAACTGACTGCTTAGTATAAGACTCTGCCATACGTTATTCTAAAAAGTGATGAAGGAAGAAGTCTTAGTAGACAGATCTGTCAAAATGGATTACTTCAACTTCCGAGCGGTCCAGACAGAAATTGAGAAACCGACAGTGAGTGCAGAAATGGAAAAATTATTTCTGTACAAACTTACCCCTTTCACTTAAGTCCAGCCAATTTCATTTTTTTTTTAAAAACAAGGACCCCCCCAAAAATCCCAAAACAAACAATAACACAACAACAACAATAATGTTCTTTCTCAAAAATGA